TTTCTCAAATATCCAATTTTTTTTTACTTATTAGGGTTGAGCTCTAACTGAACATAAAAAAACTAATAACTTTGTAGGCTATGAAAATGAGGTTTGATAAAAGAAATTCCAGAAACAAAGAACAAGTAGTCGTCCTAAGTCTTGTTCCAAGAGGCATGCTACTCCTTAGCTCAAAGCATGAGACTTGACAAATGGCACTCGTAGAATAAACTTGCTGCTTTTAATAAAGGTCACACACCAAGTTTGCTCAAGGCTTACAAGTCTTTAGCTCATTTAAAACAATGATCAATCAAACTTTGGTTTAATGCAGTGCAATCCTCAGCTTCCAAGCGTGCTTAAGCTAAACTAGCAAACTGGCTTACATGATATATGCATTTAATTGTAGGGTGTTATACAATGTTTTACTTCAGATGTCATGCAGATATGGATAAGGATATACCATAATCATCATTATCTGATTACCTTCGTTAGTCATATTGCTCTAACTTATAATCCATTCAATCATTCATCGTTCTTGTGAATCTCTGAGTATGGAATTTTCCTGATTATTGCTTATGTCCTTCTGCAGGGGCAGTTTTATATCTTGTCCCTTTCTGGTTCCTTTAAGCTGTTGGAAGTTGGTAATCAGAAAAGCAGAACTGGTGGATTAAGTGTAACATTGTCTGGATGTGATGGAAGGGTTTTGGGTGGTTCTGTGGCTGGTCCGCTAATTGCTGCCTCCCCCATTCAGGTTTGTCAGTTCTTAAGGACAACTGCTTTTTTACTGCATCTACCTACTGCATTTAATGTTCTTGTAAATACTTGATGTCTGTTTTGGCATTATATCTCCAATTGCAGATAGTAGTGACCAGTTTTAAGGCTTATGAATCTGAGGGAAAAAAATCTGATAACTCTATGGAGACTTCATTTGCTCTGCAAGTGAGCGCAGGTGGTGCAACTGGTGCCAGCAGCTCAACGTCGAATGTGGCTTTTAGTGAATTCTCTGGTGGTCCTGCAAATCCGAAAGCTGGCACCAAGTACATCCCACAAGGCACTTCTGGCATGGCTGGCAATTGATCTTTTCATGACAATTGTAATATGAGATTTTGGTACTTTTATTATCATTGTGAGGACCATAGGATGCTTTCTACCTTGACTATAATAGTTTAGAAAACCACCTACAAGAGTTAAAAGTTCATATGTGTTACAGTCTATTGTAGTAGTTTCTTCTGATCACATTACTAATAGTTCTGTACTTTCGTCACTTGCTTTCTTAAGTCTTGTTATATCTACGTGGTAATTTTATCTTATGATTGCATGACTTGTGTGCTAAAATTGATGATCCTGCTTTTTGTTATCATAAACTCGTGCATTTAGCTCGGAATGCTTGAGTTAGTGTTTGAGTTTCAGGTGTTATGTTTTAGTATTGAAGATCCAGGTTCTTCTTGTTGCTATGGTCTCCTGACTTGAGCTCACAAGGCTATGCATTTTCCTGGTTACCATACCATGACAGGCTAAAGTTTTACTCAAGATGTTTTGGACATGTTTAGTCCAATTCTCAATGCTAGTTTAGAAAGATGATAGGTACCTGTTGTTTGCTTGGAGATATACCAGACAAAGTTTAAGGTTGAATTGCAAATTGAATTTTATGTAGTGCAATATTTATATTTGTGACACTTATACCGATAATTAAGACTATGTTCTCTCCATGTTTCTAGGGTTAGAGGCCAATACCCTACGGTTTCTTAGAGGACTTAACTCACTCCCTAATGTAGGTCGTGATGCAGGGGGATCCAAGTCAGACGAGGCCGAGCTGTCTGATAGTTTGTTAATGGCGCTGATATACCACGAGTTGGCGGATCAGTGCAAGAATGGCAAGTAATCATTGATTTTTCCCCGCTTTTGGACACGTTTCGGTATTTTGGCCATAACTTTGGCTACGATTGTCAGAATCACGCCCATGACCCCAATTCGGAAAGCTCTTTCCGGCGTGCACGTTGTGAGCACCCAGCTATGCTCGGTGTGCATTGGTTTCGAGGCCAAATTCGGCTATTTTCCCTTCCGAATCATCAATTTAAGTTATTTTTACCATTTTTAGTAATATTTCGATTTC